TAGTAGTAGTAGTCGTAGTAGTAGTAGTAGTAGTAGTAGTAGTAGTAGTAGTAGTAGTAGTAGTAGTAGTAGTAGTAGTAGCAGTAGTAGTACTAGTAGTAGTAGTAGTAGTAGTAGTAGTAGTAGTAGTAGTAGTAGTAGTAGCAGTAGTAGTAGTAGTAGTAGTAGTAGTAGTGGTGGTAGTAGTAATTGTTGTTGTCGGTAATACCAGGTCTGGCAGCCAAGATCATGCCCTAGCAAAGGGTTTAGTAGTCGCACTGTATTGCTGTAGTAGAAATAACCCACTGTTGTCGTACTCGGATGTAGTTTTAATACCATCGAACGGGAGTGCGTCAGTAGTAGTGCTGCAGGACTAGTTTCGTATTTTGGTGGGACAGTGGTGTACTAGTGTAGTAGTGGCGCTGTAGAAGCCGTGCTCTAGTACATGGTGCGTCAGGGTAGTACTCAACGATTGCCCGCAATACTGCAATAGGAATGCTCCACTGCCGCAGCATGGCAACACACGGTTGTGGTATTCTCACAATGTAGTGCTGTAGTACGCTGTAACAGTAGTAGTGGACGCTGTCATAGCCGCAATGCAACGCTGCAGCAGTGCTATGGCATAAGTATGAATGAGAGTTTAGCACTGTACTGGTATTTGTTGCATGCTGGCAGTAGCCGTAATGGAGCTCTAGCGCTGGAGTGCTCAAGCACGGCCGCCGTGCCCTAGCAGCGTCGTGCCGCAGTCGTATTGTAGTAATCGCGTTCTACTGAAGTCGTAGTAGTGCTCTGATACAATCGTAGTGGTAATAACAACGTAGTGGTGGCTGTGGGAACAACACGGTCTTGTAACACTTTAATAGCTTAGCATCGCTGTAATCTGGTCGAGCGGTTGTACTAGCCATTGCGTTGTAGGAGTAGTCGCAACCGAATATTGTGATGGTCGAACTGCTGTAGTAATGAGGTGGTAGTAATACCTTAGTATTGTAATACTAATTGAAGGTATGAGGCCCAGGCTAGGCATTGGCTGAGGTTAGGCCCAGGCCAATGCTCAGGCTGAGGCTGGTGCTTATCTTAGGCTGAGGCTGAGGCTCAGGCTGAAGCTCGGTTAAGGTTTATCTGGGGCTTCCGTCGAAGCTCAGGCTGAGGTTTGGACGAGACTCGGGCTAGGCTGAGGTGTAGGCTACGCTGAGGCTTAGGCTTAGGCTGAGGCGTGGGTCAAGTCTAGGCTATGCTTAGTCTTGCCTGGCTCCATTCCAGTGCTGTAGTAGGGATTGCCAAATGCCGTGTTATCGCAGCACGGCTGTAGCACTATAGCACTGTAGTGCTATAGTGGTGGCGCTGTATTAGTCGTAGTAGTAGTGGGGCTCTAACACCGGGGTGCTCAAGCAGGGTCGCCGTACGCTGGTACTGTCTTGCCGTAGCCATATGGAATGTGTACCATTCAATTGAAGTCGACGTACTACCCTGGTGCAGTATTGGCAGTAGCACTTTAGTGGTGGGTTGACGAGCAGTGCAGCATTATGGCACGGTCGTACTGTTGTAGTCGTAATAATGTTGTGGGGAGTCATAGTACTATACCAGTTTATTGGTAGTACTTTGGTAGTAACAATAATGGGGTTGAGGCGCTGGTTAGGTTTGGGCTGAGGCTGAGGCTAGGCTTAGGCAGAGGCCAAGGCTGATGCTGAACCTCATGTTAGGCTGAGGCGTAGACTGAGGCTGAGGCTAAGGCGAGGCTGAGGCTCAGGATGGGATTCGGCTAGGCTCAGGCCTAGGCGATGCTGAGGCTTAGGATGGGATTCGGCTAGGAAAGAACGAGAGAGAGAGAGAGATGAGAGGAGAGGGGAGGATGCGCCGCGGAAAAGCACAGCGGGCATACCGCGCCGATGCCAGCCGCAAGCTAACGACGCTCCCCGCCTCCCACAACACAGAATCCTTAAAAACGCAGGGGGGGGATGCGACCCCTGAACCCGAACCATAGAAAGCTACACCGAAACCCCCAGTGGGGCCGCCCGCGTGCGTCCCCCACAGCCACCACCGAAGCCCCCAATGGGACCGACCGCGTGCGTCCCACACGCCTAATTTGGTATTTTTACCCACCCAGTGCAGCGCTTCGTGGCCTCATAGGGAGCTTCATCGACGGCCCCAGTGCTACCGCCAGCATGCGTTCCCCCCCCCCGCCCAGCGCAGCGCTTCGTGGCCCCATAGGGAGCTTCACCGAAGAAGATCTTCACAATTGCGGTACCCACGAGTTCATATGGTTGGGTCCTTCGCCAGGACAACTTCTGAATGGTTATTCCTCCTGCAGAGGAACAGTTCCGACTGGATGCCCGTGCCACACATATCTGGGGGGCCCCAGCCAGGAGGGGCCTCTCCGCCCCGCGAGGGGGGCGAAGTTGCGGCCGTGGCTCCTCTCTGCCTCTCGGCGGGAGGGCCGTGGGAGGCGGCGGAAGTCACATGAAGTCGGGCCTGTCCTTCGGCAGGAGGAATATTCAAACGGTGTCCAACAATAATGTGGGGACGTTTTTTTCGGGGGGGGGGGTACAGCCGGGGCCCTGAACAAGAAACCCTTTTCGTTGGGGAGGGGCTCCGCGTTCCTTAAGTGTTTCGCAGCTTGCCTCAGGTTTTCCCTGTGTTTCCGATCGGAAAACGAAGTTTAACTTACGGAAAAAAGGGGCCTCGTTCCTTATTCAGGGCTCCTTAGGTCAACGCCCCGACTGTAAGTATATTGTTTGATTTGTCGCCCAAAATCCGCCTGTTGGAGACCACGCCCGACCTAAAACAGCAACACGAGGGCGGCTCCGCTGGCGAAAGCTCGTGGGAGGCCGGACAAAAAAGCACGCGGAAGCCACGGGTCGGAGGAGGCAGAGGCACCCATACCGCTACCTTTGCCTCGTTCTTCTCTCGCTTTGCGCCTCCTGGGATCGGAGGGCACCAACTATACACCAACACCGATCCTGGCCCAGGATCACCCTGGGCCCAGGATCGGTGTATATGCCTTCTTGCGCAAGGCAGGAGGGCGTATACACCGATCCTGCAGCAGGGTGATCCTGGCCAGGATCGGTGTTGGTGTATAGTTGGTGCCTTCCTATGGGAGGCCCTCGTCGCCACCGCTGGGCTCGCGTCGGAAATCTAGTCAGAACGCACCCGGGTGAGAGGTCCAGGGAGTAGCGGCATCGGGGCGTCGGTTCCTGCCTGGTTCCCCCCAGAAAATATGCGCCCTCAAGCGATGGCAACGTGTTTGGGCTCAGGGTTTCCAGGGCCCGCCACATGCTGTGGGGGGGAGAGACAGGGTGGGCGGGGCGAATGGGGGCCAGTAGCGCCACGATTCGCGCCGGCGCCGTCTGCGAGTTAGCTTGCCCAGCAATTCCCAAACAGCGCCGGCGCGAACCGTGACGTTACCAGGTGGGGTGGGTCGGGGGCTGCCAAGTGGGGGGTGATGATTACAGTCGGGGCCCTGAAGAAGGCACCCTTTTTGTTGGGGAGGGGCTCCGTGTTCCTTAGTTGCTTTACAGTGCTCCTTGGGTTTTCCTGAGGTTTCCACGGAAAATCTGAGTTTACCATGTGGGAAAAAGGGGCCTCGTTCCTTATTTAGGGTTCCTTAGGTCAACGCTCCGACTGTAGGGGGGATGGATATCATGGCGTGGGCCATGATATTTCCTCCGTTCTCATGGCGTCTCCTGTTCTTTCCTTACGTCCCTTTGGGTCCTTCCCTGGGCCGAGCACGTGCCATCGGCCATGAGTTGCACCCCGCCCTCTTCGACGCCCCCTTTTTTTGGGCCGCCGCCGAGGAAAGAGGGGGAGGAGCAGCCCCGGTATTCCATCTGGTTCCAAAACGGAACCCCAGGGAAAGGGACTCCTGAGGCGTGCGATGCCGCTTTCTCGAGCCCGCTCGGCTTCGCTCGCATGGCCGCCGCACGACGCTTTCACTCGCCCATCGAAGTGTGTCGACTGCAGCGCCGCGGTCTCAGAAGTCCCTCTCGCTGGCGCCCCTCGGGGAAACACATCAGGAGCGGCCGTTGCGTATCGCGAATCCCCTCACGAGCTCGGAGGAGCGGGAGCGCCCAAGCAAGTCGGCCCTCGAACCTCGAGCCTCGATGTTCGACCTTTGTTTCTCCTCTCCCTCCCCATGCCCCGCATATCGTCTCCCACGCCCACAACCTCCCCCCATTCTCGCCCTCTTTCCGTGCCCCTTGCTTCTCTCCTTGCCCCTGTCCAATCTCCTCGGCCACCACCCTCCACTCCCCCGTGCCGCCCCCAACCCCACCCCACCTCGCTTCCCCCCCTTTCCCGCTTACGGGAGCAGGAGGAGAGAAGGGGCGGATGTCGGTCGAGGAGATGAGAAGAGGGCGTAGAAGAGGGGTGGCGGGATGATCCTCGCCTTATCCGACTTCTTCGTCACCGTCACCCTGCCGAGCCGTCGTTGCCGTTGCCGTTGATGCCGGCCTCTCATCCTTCCTCTCGCCCATCCTCCCTTCTTCTCCTCTCCTCTTTCGCATCGGTTATGCTCGTCCCTTCCTCCTTCACATCTCCTGCTCAATCCTGCTCTCTCTCTCTCTTCCCCCTCCTCACCCTCCTCGTCCTCCTTCGCATTGGGTATGCTCGTCTCCTCCTCTTTCCCATATTCTGCTCAATCCTGCCTCCTCTCTCTTCCCCCTCCTCACCCTCCTCGTCCTCTTTCGCATTGGGTATGCTCGCCTCCTCCTCTTTCCCAGCTTCTGCTCAATCCTGCTCTCTCTCTCTCTCTCTTCCCCCTCCTCACCCTCCTCGTCCTCCTTCGCATTGGGCGTGCTCGTGCCCTGCTCTTTCTCATCTCCTGCCCAATCCTGTTCACTCTCTCTGCCCCCTCCTCGCCCTCCCTTCGTCCTCCTTCGCATCTGGTGCGCTCGTCTCCTGGTCCCTCTGATTTCCTGCTCAGTCCTGCTCCCTCTCTCCTCCCCCTCCTCAACCTCCTCGTCCTCCTGCCCATCATCCGCACCGTCTTCCCTCTCGGTGGGGGGCGGGGCCGGCGGGAGGGGCAGGTCGAGGAGAACACCGTCGGCACTTTCACCATCACCGAGCTTCCAGAGAACGACGCGGTGCTTCTCATGGCCGCTCGGGACCACAAACCGCCTCATCGTCCTTTCCCTCCTCCTCCTCCTCCTCCTCCTCCTCCAATCCTCCTCCTTCTCTCCTCCTCCTCCGCCTCCTCCTCCTCCTCTTCCTCCTTCCCTCCCTCATTGTTTCGCCTCCCGCATTCGGACCAGATCACGCCGGCCGCTGCACCTGCGGGAGGAGGGAGGGGGGAGAGGGGGGAGAGGGCAAGCTATGTGCGCTCGCGTTATATCTGACGTCCTACCCCTCCCTCCCATCCCTTACCATGGCGTAGATCTCTTCTATGTTCGCACAGTCGGATGCCGTAGCATGACATAGCATTACATGGCATCGCATGGCGTTGACGATCAACGCGTCGCTTGACATAGCATGGCGTGGCGGCACCCCAAAGTCGGAGGGGCTTCTGCGGCCGAAAAATCAAACGAATCGACACCGAATGTGAAATCACTTCCGATTGTTTTTGTTCGAGGGGGGGGCATTTTCTAGATTTTGGGGCCTATTTGGAAGGACCGAAAACCATGCCGTGGCATGGCACTGGAAATAATGACGCCAGCGCTGCAGCGGGAGCACGATTCGGAACGAGCGGGAGCTCGGAAAAGAGGCCAGCCCTGCAGCGGAAGCACGATTCGGAACTGGCGGAGGCCCGAACATGAGGCCAGCGCTTTGGCGGGGGCAGCAACATGTTGAAGCAAACCGAGCGGAAGCCCAACTCCGGGGAAGCTTGTGTGTAACAACCAGAGCGCGGAGGGGGCCGGACATCTTCCCGACGTCATCCGGGGAGCGACGGGAGTAGCAGTCATACTGTTTGGGTGCAGAGGGGGGCGGGGAGGGGACGCCACGACCCGACCGCCCTCTGGCCCTCCGCCAGTCCCGCCCAGCACACTCTGGGCACACTCCTCCTCTTCCTCCTCCTCCTTCTCCTCCTCCTCCTCCTCCTCCTCCTCCTCCTCCTCCTCCTCCTCCCCTGTGTCCATCCCGTCAGGGGGGGGGGCGGAGGATGTCGGGCGGGTGGTAATGGGGGTGACCCGAGTGAGAGGCTCCCAAATGGGTCCTTTAGGACCTCTCTTGGAGTCAGCAGGGGCCCCAAAAGGGGCCCGAAAGGGCCTCGTGAGGCTCCTTGTCTTCCCCCCACAATGGGGGTCCGAGGCACGGCCGCGCCTCCCGTGGTGCCGGGGATGTTGCCCGCCTCTCTGCCGGGTTCCTCGCAGGCCGCGGTCGTGGGTTGCTTAAGCTCTTGGCGCACTGCGCAGTCCTGGCGATCCAGCGCCAGCGCCAGCGCGTCTTGCTTGCCAATGAAGACAATATTTATATCCATATCTAGTGCGTCTTGGACTTTCTCGGAAGGGGCACCGCAAGGCCGAGGTGTACTTGATGTGGGCAAACATCGAGCCCCTGGTGGGCAGATTCCTAGCCATATCCAGTACTCCTCGGGATTCTGGGGAAGAGAGCCCGAAACTCCAGGCTGCAGTGGATACGGACACAGGTCTCGCCCGCAGCGTAGTCATGGTCGTGCAGCGGCAGCTCGTCTTGCTGGTCGAGGCTGATGGCGAGGCACGCGGCCTGGCCCGCTCCTCCGCGGAAGACGTCTATACATTTATACATGTCCAGTACGTCTTGGATTTTCTTGGAAGGGGCGCCACAAGACCGAGGCGCACAGGCTATGGACAAACCTCGAGCCTCTACAGGGGCCAGGTTCTCATCCATGTGCCAAGCTGCAGCGGATATGGACACAGGTTTTTGCCCGCAGCGTAGTCCTGGTCGTCCAACGCCAGCGCGTCTTGCTGGTCGAGGGTGATGGCGCCCGAGGCCCGGCCCGCTCTCGCCTGCGAGCGCTGGGTGGCACTGATCGCGTCGATCATGACGCCCACGGTGCTCGCCTTGGCCGCGTATACGGCGGTCACTGTCATCACTGCCCGTACTCCAAGGCTCTGCGCCGGAGACCCATCGGCGACGCGCGGGATGCGCACGCCGCCGCGCCGCTGGGCGTCGACGCACAAGCCCAGCGGCGGGCGCCCGTCCACGCGCAGGCGCACAGCCAGCCGGGATGGCTCCTCCTCGGTCTGCTCTGCGGCCTTCTGGTCCTCGCCCTGGGGGAGCAGCAAGCTGCGGCGGGTCGCAGCTTGGGCAGCGCGCAGCGCGGGCCGCTGCGCAGATGGAGGAGGAGGACCAGGAAGAGGAGGAAGAGGAGGAGGAGAAGCAGGAGGAGGAGGAGGAGGGGAAGCAGGAGAAGCAGGAGAAGCAGGAGAAGGAGGCGGAGGAGAAGGAGGAGGAGGTGGAGGAGGAGGAGGAGGAGGAGGAAGAGGAGCGCCGCTTGGGCAGTGTCTCCCTAGCAGCTCGCGGCAGCGCGGCGGTGCGGGCCGCGGCGCCGAGCTGGCCTCCCCGGCGGGGGTTGGGCGAGGCCGTCGTTCGAAGCGGCTGGCTGCGCGGCGTCGGCTCCTGCTGCGGCTTCGGCGGCCCTGGCTTCGGTCGAGGGGGAGGCCTCCAACGGGGCTACGCCGGTGCGTGCTCCTCGGCGCCCGCCCGGAGGCTGCCGCCGCCGTGGCCCAGGCGAGGGCCAGCGACGGCCGAGGCGATGCCGCCCGCGGAGGCGGTCGCGGAGCCTTCCTGAGAGGGGCCGTCTGCGGCGTGCCCCGCGGCGTTGCGCCGCTGGCTCGCGTCGGATCGACCCTGGGTAATCCAGGAGGAGGAGGAAGAGGAGGAGGAGGAGGAGGAGGAGGAGGAGGAGGAGGAGGAGGAGGAGGAGGAGGAGGAGGAGGAGGAGGAGGAGGAGGAGGAGGAGGAGGAGGAGGAGGAGCAGGGAGGGGAGGAGAGGAGGAGGAGGAGGAGGAGGAGGAGGAGTGGGGAGGGAGGAGGAGGAGAGGAGGAGGAGGAGGAGGGAGGAGGAGGAGGAGGAGGAGGAGGAGGAGGAGGAGGAGGAGGAGGAGGAGGAGGGGAGGAGGAAAGAGGAGGAGGGAGGAGAGGAGGAGGAGGAGGAGGAGGAGGAGGAGAGGAGGCGGAGGAGGAGGGGAGAGGAGGAGCAGGAGGAGGAGGACGGAGGAGAGGAGGAGGAGGAGGAGGAGGAAGGAGGAGGAGGAGGAGGAGGAGGAGGAGGAGGAGGAGGAGGAGAGGAGGAGGAGGGGAGGAGGAGGAGGAGGCGGAGGAGGAGGAGGAGGAGGAGGAGGGGAGGAGGAGGAGGAGGAGGAGGAAGAGGAGGAGGAGGAGGAGGAGGGAAGAGGGAGGAGAAGGAGGGGGAGGGGGAGGGGGAGGGGAGAAGGAGGGGGAGGAGGAGGAGGAGGGGAGGAGAAAGAGGAGGAGGAGGAGGAGGGGGAGGGGGAGAGGGGAGGAGGAGGAGGAGGAGGAGGAGGAGGAGGAGGAGGAGGCGGAGGAGGAGGAGGAGGAGGAGGAGGGGAGGAGAGGAGAGGAGGAGGAGGAGGAGGAGGAGGAGGAGGAGGAGGAGGAGCAGCAGCAGCAGCAGCAGCAGCAGCAGCAGCAGCAGCACGAGGAGGGGGAGGAGGAGGAGAGGCCCCGGCACTCGGCGTCGGTCGCGAGGCACTGGAGCGCTGGGCGCGCGAGGCGGCCTCTCGGTGCCGCCGAGGACCCCGGCGCGTGGTTGGTGCCGCCGAGGGCCCATGCGGAGGGCCGCCTCGCAGGCCCTGCGGGTAGCGCCGTCGGGCCGCCCGCGGGGCCGCAGAGGCTCGGTGGGCCCTGGCCTCGCGCGGCCCGGCTGCAGCAGTCGAAGGAGGAAGACACGTCATAAACAGAAACTGTTGCGCTCCGCGCGGGCTTCTAGGGTCCCGGCGGCGCCTCTGGCCCCGCCCCTGGCGCGCTCCGCGCGCCAGGAAGGGGACCCCCCCCGCAGATCCAAGAACCCCGCGCGGAGCGCCAAAAGTTTATGTTTATGGCATTGTTGCTTCTTCTAAGTATGTAGGCCGCAGAGTCGGCGGGCAGCCCACCGCAGCCACCATCCTCAAGCAGCGACGCGCGCAGCTCCAGTAGTTGCAGTCGGTCCCGCGGCGGCCGCCCCTGCGGCGGGCAGGCATGCCGACCGGGCTGGTTTGAGCAATAGGGGTGTCGCTCGCTGGTGAGCGGCTTGAGCCAAAATGGCTACGGACACTCTGCCTCGTTCTCCTCGTCCCTATGATCACCATCACGTCGTCGTTGTCGTCTTCGTTGTTGTCGTCGTCGTCGTCCTCTCATCGTCGTTGTCGTCGTCGTCATCATCATCATCATCACCATCATCAGCATCATCATCATCATCATCGTCATCATCATCATCATCATTATCATCATCATCATCATCAGCATCATCATACTTAGCATCATCGTGACCATCACCATCACCATCATCATCCGCATCAGCAGCATAATCAGCATCAGCAGCATAATCAGCATCAGCAGCATAATCATCAGCATCATTATCATCAGCACCATCACCATTACCATCACCATCACCGTCGCTCTAATCACCACCACCACCATCATCACCACCACCACCATCATCATCATCATCATCACCATCATCATCATCATCATCATCATCATCATCATCATCATCATCATCATCATCATCATCATCATCATCATCATCTTCATCATCTTCATCTTCATCTTCATTTTCATCTCAGCATCATGTTTCGATAGGGGCGCCACTTGTGCCGATTCGGATGCCGAGCCGCAGGAGGCGACACGGTCCTCTCCCATCCCCCCCATGTGTACGACACCATGAGGCACATTCGGCTGGGCATTGCGCAGCGCTTCCACGCCATGGCTGAGCGCTCGCCTAGTGCAGGTGTCTCTGTTGCGCACTGGCATGCAGCAGCGGCGGCCGCGCGCGAAGAGCTCAGCAATGCCCAGGCCATAGGACGCAAGGCGAAGGTGCAACGGATTTTCCCCGCTGAGCTCCATTGCGCCATCACCAAGCGCCTGCGTGCTTGGGGCCCCCTGCAGTTGATCGAGGGGTCGGTCGGGGAGCGGTGGGGGGAGTGTCATGATTTCGCGCACCTTTCGCCCAGCGTGGCAATGGTCCATTCTCAAGACGCTCGCGGGAGGCTGGACCACTTCGTGCCGCATGCATGTTTGTGGCTCCTCTTCCTGCTTGTTCGGCTGTCTCGGCGAGGCCGATGAGATTTTTCACTACCTCATCTGTCCCGTCTTGCGTCGCCTCCTCTGCTTTCCGTCTTCCTATTCATCTGTTGGGCCTCGCGGCCCCCAACGAGTACAGTGCCGCCAACTGTGCGATGAGCCGTGCATCAGCTTTCACGCTGTGCGCTCTGGCTTTCCATGTTTACCAAAAGGCCAGGGCTTCCTGCGCCTTCGGTCAGCCGCTCCGCACAGAGCTGCTCAATGGTGTCCTAGCTGCCGCGCATCACGCTACGTTTAAGTAGGCAGCTGTGGACGAACAGCGCTAGGATACGGTCGATCATCATCGTCACCGTCCTCGTCACCGTCACCGGCACCGTCACAATCATCAGCACCACCATCATCACATCATCCTACTCATCACCACCATCGTCAGCAGCACCATCGTCTTCACCATCATCCGAAGTACCCTCACCAGCATCACCCTCAGTATCACCATCCATAACAGCATGGCCATCATCATCACCGTCCGTTCCACCTTCATCATCATCATCAGCATCGTCGTCCTTACCATTCTCATCAGCGTCGTAATCAGCACTAGCATCATCACAGGCACCAGCGTGCTCATCAGTATCACCATCAGCAGCACCATCACCACCATCAGCGTCAGCATCACCATCATAATCAGCATCTTCTCTGGCAGCGTCATAATGAGCATCAACACTTTGCAATTGCCACCATCATCATCACTCTCATCATTATCAACATCATAATCATCATGGCCCTGGTCATCATAAGCATCACCGCAGCTCATCATAATCACCACCACCAGCGGCATCACCCTGTTCTCCTCATTCCTCCGTTCCTCCTGGCCCCCTCTCCTCTCTCTGTGGCCGAGGCATAAGCCCCCGAGGACGCGAGTGCACTGGGGTTGTCCGGCGGTCGGAGGGCCGCTCTTCGGCCCACCCCGCCGGCGATGCGGCGCTCATCGCCTGCACCCGCTGCCCCTGCCATGGGGTGCGTGCCGCTCTGCTCTGCATCGGCCACCCATCACCTTGCGAGGGAAATCCTGGAGGCCTCGCGCGGCGCGTAATAGTAGCATGATCTGGTCCACTTGTCAGTTCCGTGAGCTATGGGTCGACGCTTGCGCGACGTAAGTCCGACGTGAGCCCGACGTACATCCGCCGTGGATCCGACGCAAATCGGGTCTCAAATTGCCGCGCGAGGCCTCCAGGATTTTCTTCATAAATCACCCACCGTTCCGTGTCCGTTCGGCTCCACATGCCCGCAGTCTCCGGCCTGCTCGAGCCCACGCCGCACTCGGTGCCCCTGCTTGCCATCCTGTGCTCGGACGCGGTCCACTCGTCATCGGCGGCCAAGCGGCATCTGCCGCGAGGGGATGTGGCGTGCACGGGCTGCCTCCCCCCCCGCGAGTCGGCAATCGCTGGGCCAGATCAGGTGTTTAGCCCACGCCGTCATTTGGCGTTCCCGCGGGAAGACGAGCTGGAAGACGAGCTCGGGACGTGCAATTTCGCACTCGGAGTGTGAGAATGACCGCGTCAGCATCACCCCGTGCGGGGAAGACGCTGACAGAAGATGAATCCCCCCGCGGTCGTCGACTGCAGCGCCGTCCGGCAGGGGGACCGCCGGCTGCCAGTGCAACAGCAGCGCAGGTGAGCGGCAAGATGTGCCGCACGACATTGGCACGGATACGGGCTGTGATGCGCGACCGGGTCCTGGAACTCGAGAGGGCAGAAAAGGAAAGAGGGGGAGACAGACAGATAGAAGAGACAGAAATGGGACAGCGAAAGGAAAGGGACAGAAGAGAGAGGCGCGCGCGAGGACGACAGACCAACGAAAACGACGACGACCGCCCGCGCGCTCCCGGCTCAAACCAGCGTTGCCCCCAACTTCCTCGCGCGTGCACTCGCAATGCCATTGTTGCATCTGCTGCACCGAAGTTGGCCAACTTCTTGAAGAGAGGTCAGTGTTCAGACATCCTACGCCGAGGGCCCGACCAGGACCCTACCAGGTGCGAGGAGGTGGCGCCTGGTGCGGTCTATCGTGTGCCACTTTGCGACCTTGGAGGGATGACCCACCGCAGCGATGACTGCGCGCAGGCCTGCAGCTGGGCCGCGACCAGATGGTGTTGGTTGTGCTACCGTATCGCCCAACTGTCGATTCCCATCGTCCCCCCGTTCGTGGCTGGATGTTGCGTTCCGTCTCGCTACATCTGCTTACTTCCTGTACCTACGATCCGCCTTTCGTGCCATCTCTTAATCGGATATTAGCAGGTCAGTGCGAGGCATGTTTGTCGCATGAGTGGACAGGGAAGGACAACTTTCTGCCCCTGCCCCCCGCTCCTCCTTCTCATCGCCAGCCATATAACGGATGTTTCCCCGTGCTTCCTCTTTACGGGTCTCCGCATCTTCGATTTTCCCCCTCCCCTTCGACCAATCTTCCCGAGCTTTATCCCCCTTCTTTCCTGGGACATCTTCTTCCCTCTTCGTCCACCCCTCTCTCCCAAGGATTTGTCCTTTTTCTCCTCCTGCTCCATCCGTCGTCTCTCCCCATTTTCCCCGTCTCCCACTCCTGTTCTTCTTTCCTCGCCGCCGTCATCTCCCCTCATCGTCCTCCTCCTCTTCCTCCTTCTCCTCCCCCTCCTCCTCCCTTTCCTCCTCCACCCCCCTCCCCTCCTCCCCGATTCTGGCCCGCGGGATCGCGGAGGTGATCCACCGCCACGACGCGGACAGCACCGCGGCCTCCCCGGGAGGGGGGTCGCCCCTCGCCTCTCCCCCACCCCCACCCCCCTTGTTGTCGAGAAGGCGCCAGACATCCAGGAGAGAAAGTGGCATTGAGGAGTGGGGCCAGGATGGGGGAAGGGAAAGCAGGGAAGGACGTGGGAGGGGGGGCGTATGAGCAGGAGGGAGCAGGTCAATCAGGGAGGGGGGGAGTAGACGAACATGGGAAAAGGGGTGATGGTGTTGATGCTGACGAGGATGCTGATGGTGATCATGAGGGTGATGATGATGATGGTGATGGTTGTGGTGGTGATGATAAGTCTGCTGGTGATGATGAGGATGATGATGATGAGGCTGCTGCTGATGGTTGTGGTGACCATGATGATGTCAAGGGTGATGGTGATGGTGATTGTGACGATGTTGGCAATGGCGACACGAATGATGACGCTACCGATAATGCTGATGGAGTTGATGGCGATGACAACGGTGATGTTGGTGACGGCAATTATGACACTGATGCCGATGAATTTGTTCATGACTTTGATGCTTAAAATGGTGTTGGTGATGATGGTGAAACTTGGAATGATGTTGATTATGAGGAGGGATACGCGGTTGCTGATGACGATGCGTATTACCAGTCGGGGTAGTGACAGTGTTGATGCTGATGACGGTGATGCCTTTGATGATGATGCTGGTGACGATGATGATGCAGATGGTAACGATGATGACGATGATGATCACGTAATGGTGATGCGATTGCGATGGTGATGGCGCTGGTAAAAAGGTGGTGGTTATGCTGGTAAAGGTGGTGATGGTGATGCACTAGAGAAGATTCGGGAGAAGAGTTCAGAGGGATGATGGCGGGTAGAAGTATGAAGAAGCAGGAGGGATAACATCAGGAGGTGGCTTCAAGGGGGGGGGTGAGGAAGATGCTGCTTGTAGTCGCACGAAGGAGAAGGTGGAGGGATGAGGAGGTCGAGAAGGAGTGTGAGCAGCCGCAAGAGTCGGAGGAGGAGGGGGCCGATGAGGAAGAGACATCGAAGCTCTTGGAGGGTCGAGCGGCTCAGCGCCAGAGACACCGATCCTCCTGGGGGGCAGACCCGGGTGCACTTCTCTGCCCGGGTCGAACCCCACATTTTTGGTCTACTTCTGCGCCCCCGTTGGCTGTCTGTGTCTTACAGTCTTCTCACACTCCCCCTAATGAGCCCCCCCCGCCCCACCGGATTAAGCCGTGGGGCGGGGGCAGCACAGTTGGCCGCATCTGCACGACACATCGGCTGAGAGCGAGCGGGCGAGGTGTATTTCTCCTCCTGGGGGCCAGCGAGTTTTCCCATACGCGCTGGCGCACTGGCACAAAGGGACCGCAAGTATTGGTGCCGCAGGCTCGAGTACATACTCGACAATGCACCTGCAAGCCGCAGGGCTTGCGCAGCATTTGCTGGCGGTCGCCAGTAAACTTGTAGGGCGAGTCAATCGAGCACATCGGATCAATGAGAACGATTTGATATTTATCAGCGCTTGATCGGGGAACCCAGTGCGAAAATATGCCCGAGGGGGCTGCGCTGGCACAAGCGCGAATCAGTGGTGCGCGCGTGCCGCACCGATTGACGCGCGGCTCACCGTGCTCCGGCGGCACTGAGCCCGAGTGATCGAATCTTGAGCCTGGAGCCGTTCCACATCGCCCCGCTGCACCACCTCAAACCCTGGGACGTCCCGACGGGCTGCCCCCGCATTTCCTGGATTGCACACCCATGGTGGTCATTTGCGACTGCTTTTCGCATGCGTGTCCCCCACCCATTACACCGATTCGTGGCCCCACAGGGGGCTTCACCGGCCCACCGGGGACCTCTGGCGGTGTTCGCATGCGCCCCCCCCACCCAGTACACCGCTTCGTGGCCCCACTGGGAGTTCCACCGAAGGCCCCTGTGGCGGTGTTCGCATGCGTCTCCCCCACCCAGCACAGCGCTTCGTGGTCCCAGAGGGAGCTCCACCGAATGCCTGAGTGGCGGTGTTCGCATTCGTCCCTCCCACCCAGTATAGCGCTTCGTGGCCCCATAGAGAGCTCCATCCAAGGCCTCAGTGGCGGTGTTCGCATGCGCTTCGCCCACTCAGTACATCGTTTTGTGATCCCATAGAGAGTCCACCGAAGGCCCCAGTGGCGGTGTTCGCGTGGGTCCCCCCTGCCCAGTACAGCGCTTTGTGGCCACACAGGGAGCTCCACCGAAGACCCTTCGCACGTTTCGCGGCTCCCCCCATGCTGGGTTCCACCTGAAGCCCCTGTGGCAGCGCCCACGTGGCGGCCCCGCCCCATATCGGCAGACCGCTCGCATGCTTCATGACGCCATGAGGAGGTCCCCCGAAGGCGATGCCCGCAACGACGGTACGCACAATTGCATATGGTTGCGTCCTTCGCCCGGTAAAGTTTGTTGATAGGGGTGGTAGTCATGCGGGCAGCAGGCAGTATTCCGACCCTCTCTGCCGTCCCAGGCAAAATGATGTGTTTCTTTCTGGAGGGATGGTGGTCCTGCACACAGCAGGCAATGTGCCGGCACCCCCGTCATCCTTGGCAAAAGCCAATGCGAATTGATCGCGGGGCGTCCGCGCACGATCGCTGTTGGTTCACAGTGCATTCTGTATGTTGTTTGCAAGGGATGGCCGGGGGTGTTGACATTGCACACAGCAGGCGACGTACTGCCCAACCCGTCGTTTTCGACAATAACCAAAGCAAAGTGATCGCGGGGCATCCGCGCATGATCTAGATTCTGGTGCAAAGTACAGTTTGAATTGTTTTCGTGCCGTGGATGGTGGGGGTGTGTTGGCTTGCGCGCAGCAAGCAATATGCCGCCCCCCCGACGTCTTTGTCAAAAACAAGCGCGAATTGGTCGTCGGGCGGCCGCGCATTTGGAGGCAAATTGTATCCTGTATTCCCGGACAGCTCTCTGAGAGCTAAGAGGGCCTTAGATTAAGAAGCCGGAGCCGCACGGTACCCCGGGAGGCCGCTCCCGCTTCTGTCTAGAAGCCTCGGCAGGGGTTGCCTCAGCTTTCAGCGGGTCCCGAGAGGTTTGTTGGTAGCGTTTCCCAATACGCGTGCCCGGAAGCTTTCCAAAAGGACCTTCGGAAGCTTTTTCTTTGTTCGTCCAGAGCTTTCCGACAGGTCTTTCCACGCCCTTCTGGCGCCCTGCTATACGGGCTTTTGACCCCACAAGTTGTTTTGTAAAGGAGGGTGTTGGGAGGGGGGGGGGCCAGGCTCCATGGGTCCAGGCTCCAGGCTCCAGGTCGGCTGCTGGTCGGGCGGGGGATGGGGCGTTCATTAACAATGAAGGGGAAAAGGGGGCATTGCAAGCGAGAGCTCCAATTACGCTTAGCGCTGGCTGGCACATCGCCGCGGCCGCGCTACCGCGCTCGCGCTGGCGCGCAGGGCGGCCAGCTAGTCAGGCGCGACCGACGCAGCCGCGGTGGCGCTGATCGCGTGACAGTTCCCAGCGCGTCTCACAGGCCGCGCTGACGTGCGGGCACTTCAGTGCGAGTCGGTGGCTCGGGCGGTTGCAGTAGTATGGCGATGTCGACAATGGCTGACGCGATGAAGGTCGAAGCGATGCTGGTGACTAGGGTGAGGATGCCGACGGCGAACCAATGACAGCGCCGATGCTGAGCACGCCCATGGCGATGGTGGTGGCCAGGTGCCCTCGAGGCCGATACGCGCGATTTCGCTGGGTGGTCCTTCTTGACAGGGATCGTGCCCATCCAGCACGCGCGCAAGGGCGCTTGAACAATTAAGACATGCGCGCGCGAGAGGCCCCTTCGGTCGCCTGTGATGAAGATGCCAGAATGGTGCTGCAGTGTTCAAAGCATGGTGGCTTCGGCAGCGCGAATCCGTTGTAATGTATGGAGGTGCTTTCTCGGAGGGCAAGCTCGCAATTACATGCTTTGGGCTGTGTCTTCAGTAGCGCGAAGCCGAGCCATTATTATTCCCACGTCTTCAACAATTCAGAGCACGTGGCTCTGGCGTGGCACGAGTCAGAAAATGTTGAATTAGAACGGTCGGCACCTTCACTCTTGAAGTCTTGCAGGAACTCAGCACCTACGCCTCGAAGCCCGTTGGTCCCCAAGGGGGCTGGCCGATTGCAGTACATGTGAGCGCGCATGCACATGTCTTACAGCTGCACGTGCATAGCATCCAGTCGTCCCCAAGGGGGGCCGACCTCCAGATATTCCGCCTCCGCTTCCAGCTGCAGGCACACACCCCGTAATAAAGGAATCCTGCTTTCTGGCTCTTTTCCCTCCTCTCTCCGCCAAAAGTATTCGGCCCCTGGGCCCGCCTGCACCCCCCCATCCTCCACGTCCGCCCCGCCCCCCGCCGCCTCATCGTCCGGCTCCGCCTCCTGCACCTCCCTGTCGAGCTCAGGGGCGCTCGCCCTTCTCCCTTCTCCGATGCGTCCCCGCACCCTCTCCGTCCTCGGGAGGTGTCCTTTCAGTCCCACGTGTTCTCGAACCAGAAGGCGGCGCAGATCGCCATCCTCGACACCTACAAGGCGGGGAGTGGGTCCCGGCCGCGCGCGCCCACAGGGAACCAGGCGCACGGGCAGGCAGGAGGAGGGGGGCAGGAAACAGGAGGGGGTTCGCCGAGAGGTGCGTGCGCACGATAACGAGTGCGCGCCTCTGCCGATCCAAGGCTACATTGAGCTCCCTGTCTTGGGCAGGGTCCCCTGGGCACCTGCGGAGGAGAGTGAAAGGGGGGGGGGGTATGCAAAAGAGAGTGCGAGTACGAGGGGAAGCAGGAGTGGGGGCAGGGGACGCAGAGTCCCAGGAGGAGCGGGAGAGGGGCAGGAGTTGAACGAGGGGGGAAAAGGGAGGGTGGGTGGGAGGGGCAGGAGTGCACGAGGGAGAGGGAGAGGGGCAGGAGTGCACGAGGGAGGGTGGAGGGGCAGGAGTGCACGAGGGAGAGGGGCAGGAGTGCACGAGGGAGGGTGGGACATGACATGTGAGCGCGGCGTGCAGCAGCATGAGGAGGTGGCGGATCCGCAGAAGTGCGGGGTGGTTTCGCCGGACAACGCGCATACGCACCCCACCCATTCATCAGCATTGCGGTCGGTTCGCGCTCACGATACCCAAACCCCAGGCAACCCCCCCTCCCAACACGTGGCCACGCTGCGCCCGAGGGGAGTGTTCCCTCTTCCGCCGCTGCTCCTGCAGGTCCTGCGTCGCGTCGGCGCGTCGCCCCACGACTGGCGTTTGGGGGTCTGGCTCCTCGATCTCGGTCTCTTCGCCTGCGGCGCGGCATGCATGCGGCGTCGAGATCCCCAGTCGCTTGCAAGCAATGCGAGGACCACAGTGCTGGGATGCGAGAGCGCTCCACGATCCTGAGGCACCAGAAGGCGGAGTGCGGTGCGAAGTGCGATCGAGAACACCTTGGGACTGCGCAGTAATTCGTCAGGATTCGTAGGGAGTTCTCGTGGGACATCCGAGAGATACCAGTGGCTCCCCTGTAGGATTGCTACGGACTTCCTTGGTGCGTCCCAGTAGGTCGTCGTTCCCGAGGAACCGCTCAGATCGACTACGAAATCTTTTGGGGGGGATCGTTTGAGGAAGTGTCAGGACTGTGAGAATTTGATCGGCATGGAGACTGCTTTTTACCTAACAGCTTGTTCTGATAGGTTTCTAGTGGGGTCAAAAGAGAGCAGCAGATGACTCCACAGGGGGGTCTGGGCGGGTGCCGGACAGGGTGCCGCAGAAGTCGTTTTAAGCGAACAGTCACACACTTCGTGCTCTTCGACCTCCCAGAACTCCATTCCCGGGCCACATTCTGAATGCCCGGAGCCAACTGTAGGCCACTTCGTGCTCTTCGACTTCCCAGAACTCCATTCCCGGGCCACATTTTGAATGCCCGGAGCCAACTGTAGGCCACTTCGTGGTCTTCGAGTTCCCAGAACTCCATTCCCGGGCCACATTTTGAATGCCCGGAGCCAACTGTAGGCCACTTCGTGTCTTCGAGTTCCCAGAACTCCATTCCCGGGCCAGATTTTGAATGCCCGGAGCCAACTGTAGGCCACTTCGTGGTCTTCGAGTTCCCAGAACTCCATTCCCGGGCCAGATTTTGAATGCCCGGAGCCAACTGTAGGCCACTTCGTGGTCTTCGAGTTCCCAGAACTCCATTCCTGGGCATGATTTTGAATGCCCGGAGCCAACTGTAGGCCACTTCGTGTTCTTCGAGTTCCCAGAACTCCATTCCCGGGCCACATTTTGAATGCTGAGGCAGGCTGAGGCTGAGGCAGGCTGAGGCTGAGGCAGGCTGAGGCAGGCTGAGGCTGAGGCTGAGGCTGAGGCAGGCTGAGGCTGAGGCAGGCTGAGGCTGAGGCCGAGGCTGAGGCTGAGGCTGATGCAGGCTGAGGCTGAGGCTGAGGCTGAGGCTGAGGCTGAGGCTGTGTCTGTGACTGCCGTTGCCACTGCGACTGTCATCGCGAATGCGACTACGACTGCGAGAACAGCACAATTCTACAACTGGATTCTCATCTGAATCTTAAGGGGAATGCTTCCAGATATGCTCCTACACATCGCTGTTAGGTTGCTTTGCCGGGATAATTTTAGTGTCCCGCGATAGCCCGGGTTATCGGGCTTGCCCCCCCCCCCCCCAGCATAACCTAACCTTGCTGGTTGTGCAGGCCCATGGGGGGGGGGGCGCGGGCATGTGCAGGGCTGCCCACGTGCTCGGCCGGCCCCCTCCTCACCCCTCCCCCGGATAACCCGGGTTATCGCCGATTCAAAAACGTGGTCTCATGTTGATGGATGAGATCTTGGACAGTCGCCCGGACTCCCGATCCGGATTCTTGGGAGAGGGGCCCCAGGAAGGCAGGAACCCGAGCCGCGGGCCCCGACCGCCGGGGGGGCAGGCGCGCGCCTGGAGGCGCTGGAGCTTGCTGCCTCACTCAGGCGATCGCAAACATGGACTAAGGTGACGTGGATTTGCTACGGGTCCCGCTTCCATGGGAAATCACGGATTTCCGCTGCCGAGCGAGGCGGCACGGGCCGCATTTTGGGGAGGGCACCTCCCCCGATCCATGGAGTTGTCGACCGTGCTCTGAATCCATGGATCGCTATTCCATGTTTGCGCGCCCCCGACTCATGTTCACGTGTAGGCTCTCATCCAGAGTCGCCACGACAGCCTGCGGGGGAGGCTGGGGACAGTCAGCCAGCAGATGACGATGTCTTCGGGGCGGTGGACGGCGAGGCTCGGGTGGGCGGAACGGTGCAGGGAACCGGCGGGGTGCAGAGCTGCTAGGCTGGCGTGGGCCCAGATCCCAGGGATCGGCTTGGATCCTCGGCGTTCCCTTTCGGTGTCCGTAGGGATCCCCAGAGTCCCCAAGAATCTGACAATCCCTCTTTGAATGCGGGCTCCAGGTGACCGCGGATGCAAGCTGTCTTCTGGTTTGGCCACAGCGGGTGTAGCATCCCATCCAGGACCTGGTCGCACGCCCTTGCAGCACACTGTTTCCAGCAAGGGTGTAGAGCTCGGGAATCCCCAGATCGGCCCCCTCTGGGCGTTGCCGCGTGAGGACGTACCCGAAGGAAAAAGGTGTCGCCTTTTCCAGAAGCGGGGAGGCACAGTCTCGCAACCCGCGGCATGGACATTCGTTACCACGAGAGGTGCGGGAGGCATGTGCGGCATGTGTTTACCAAGATGCGAGAGTCGAAGAAAAGAAAACGCCATAAACATAAACTCTTGGCACTCCGCGCGGATTTCTTGGATCCGCGCTGGGCCCCCCCCCGGCGGCGCCTCCAGCGCCGCCTTTGGCGCGCTCCGCGCGCCAGGGAGGCGGGGCCAGCGCAGATCCAAGAAATCCGCGCGGAGCGCCAAAAGTTTGTGTCTATGGCGTTTCCTTTTCTTCTTGAATAGTCCAGGCGTCGGTGCTCTGGGATCGGGACCCTGTGCAGGAGGAGGGGGTTCGCGACCCCAAGCAGGAGTAGCGGCCAAGCTTAGCAGCTCATTGTCGCGTCGGCACTCGCCAGTTCAGGGACTGGTCCTCTCTGGGGCGCTTTCCCATCTTTGCGCTCGAGGCGCAGCGAGCTTGCCCTTCGATCCCTTGTGCGCCGACTTCGGGGTGCGGTGCCAGATTCAGACTGTGGTGTCGGACGGATCTGCCCTTCTCCCCCCCGTCCTTCTCCTCCGCGATTTCCTCTGGCCCCATCCTTCCCCTCACCTTCGCCTCCCCCTCGTATCCCGAGAGGGCCTGGCCAAGTCCGACCTGCGCATCAAGGACGCGCTGCCCAGAAGGTCCAACAGGAGCGAGGTCCTGCGCTACGACAGCGTCGTCGCTGTGGACCCCGGCGAGACGCGCAAGGGGGGCACACACCATAGTGTTGGCACCGCTTGAAGGAGCCTTGTGATAGATGCGCGCATAGGAGTTGCCCTGGCAATTGACCCATCGGCCTGGGCATATTCAACGACGCTGGCAGGGCCAGAAAGTTGGAAGGAGCAGGAGGATTAGGAACATCAGCAGCAGCAGCCGGACGAGCATGAGGGGCAGGAGGAGGGGCCAGAGTAGCCTCAGGATGCGTCAGCGATGCCATATACGCCAACCTGTCCTCAGTACCTTCTTCAGCGTTACAAGCGCGTTTCACTACTACTCGCAAAGTGGCTGCTCGCAAATTGCTTGGATCCATCGCGTCCAGGCAAACAGGCTCCACTGCATCGCACAACGCTGGTTCTTGATGACGTTTGCGAGCAGGCACTCTGCGAGTAGTGGACCGCGCTCGGTAGGCAGTCCCTATAAGGTCGGGGGCGGCAAATGACCAGGGCGGGGGGGACATCATGGCGGGGGCCATGATATCTCCCCAGATCTCATGGCGCCTCGTCTCCTTTCACTGCGTCCCTGGCTCCCCCCCTGGGCCGCGCACATGCCGCCAGCCATGATCTGCGCCCCCCCCTCTTGGACGCCCCCCTCTTGGCCGCCCACGAGAAGGCTTCCTCCTCACGGCAAGGAGCGCCCCCTGGCAGGAGAGGTACCGGATGGGCCTGCCGTGCAGGCGAGAGCGCCAGCTTGGCAAGGGACTGCCTTGAATACGCTGGAAGCCCAGGCTGAGGAACGCCCTGCTTGCCTCCAGGGTGCCCTGGGCCTCTTGGGTTCGATTGTCTTGCGATGGGAAGTGCGAGTTTCCCACATCAGAAGCCAGTTCGCTGCGAACAGAAATTGATTGCACCATTTTTAGTGCTCCACGTGGATTCTCCTGTCTATTAGAATAGTAGGACCGACCCCCCGAATTGCAAATTACGTGCGATTTTGCCCCATCGTCCATCCGAGGTATGAGTTCGTACCATCCCGGGCACGCCGGTTCCCCCCCACTTCCCCTTTCATTTTCTGCAAAATGTATTATGCGCGCGCACTCGTTTATCAGAAAACATGAGTTTTCAAGAACCCCTTGAAACAGTTGGACGAAGTGCACGCGCTCGTCGTCGCGCGCGGATGCCCAAATCTGCCAAAACCGTTCAGTTTCGCACGCGGGCTCTCTCGCACGCGCACGTCGCAATCATTAGAACGCCCCTGCGCGCTCGTGCTGCCGCAAGACCTCCCCATAGTGAACAGTGTGACGACATGCGCCCGCGCGCGCCCGCTGAAAAATCCATCGAACAAACAAAAAGTATTCTCCATGATTTCAAAATTTTTAAATATTCGATAAGTCCTTGATGTTTTGGGAAGCCAAGATCAGTTTTTGGTTCTATCCTGGGCCCTCTCCTGGCCACAAGGGGGCCAGGAACAATTAGAAACGAGGACAATTAGAAATGAACGCGGTTAGAAATGAGCGACGTGTTCCGAAAACATGTTCACACACATGGTTTTGCAACGGTTGGCCCTTTACAGGAGGAAATACTTGAACATAGTAAAACATGTTGTCGGGGAGCGACTTTTGAAATACGTGTTGATCAGTTCCGTGTATTTTTATATTTTAATTTGTCGTCCAAAATCCGCCTCTCGGGGGGCGTGCCCGACCTGAAGCTAGCTTCCAAACGCAAACAGAAATGCGCTCGCACTGTTGCGAATTCTGAAGAATACAAATTCTCCAACATGTTTCGTTCCAATCTGCCCAATGGGCCTCTCGCGCGCGCATGTCGACATCGTTCGAACGCCCCTGCGCGCATACTGTCGCAAGAAACCCTTGAACAAGGAAGGACGGAGTGCAAACGCGCGAGTCGTCGCGCGCGCAGGCTGGAATCCATCAACACCATTAATTTCGCCAGGAGTTCTAACCCGAGTGCCCCGAAACATTTTAGAGCACATTGGTTTGCAACGCCAGTTTTTGAAAAAGCATGTGCTCGCTCTGCTGCGAAGCCAGATGAGCACCATACATGTTTTAACATGTTCATTCAAGTCTGTCCACTGGGCTTCTCGCGCCGCATGCCTAAATTATTCGAACGCCCTTGCTCGCGTGCTGGGGCGGGGCGCTCTCCATGTCAAATGATACAATGCGGGCCACTCCCCTGACGCGTCGGCCTCGCGCGCATGCCGAACTCCTTCCAAAACCTTCATCCGACGTGAGGACGCAGTCATCGTCGTTGGCGTGGTGAGAATTGGCACCGTCGCTGGACTTGCCGTTGTCGCTGTCACCATCGTCACCAGCATCGCTACAATCACCATCGCGTCTACCGTTGTCGACGTTGTCATGCTACCGCGCCCGCCCAAGTCGCCACTTCGAACTGAAGTGCCCGCTTGGGATTGCCCAGCGGTCAGCGCCACCGCGGTCGCATCGGTCGCGCCAAACTAGCTGGCCGCTGCGCGCGCGAACGTGCGCAGGCGAGCACTGCCGCAAAGATGCACCAGCCAAACCCAAGCACTCACCGCAACCACCGCCGCGTGGGCCTGTGCAAGCCAAGTTGCGTGCGGGTGGGTGTGATTGGGCGAGCAGTGGAGTTGACAGCCCACTGCGAACAAACATGGATTCTCCCTTCTACAAAGACAATAGACTCTACCCCCCCCCGGCGTTATCGGTACCCCTTGCGGGTATATAAATCACATATGATTCTGACCACATGTCCACCCTAAATATGAAACCACAATGTCCCAGGCCAGTTGGTATCCCCCCCTGAGGTTCCCTTTGTAAAAAACTCTATGCGGTGACATGTTTGGTTCTAGCATAACACTTTGTTCACGAATCCCTTGCAAAACATGGGACGAAGTGCGCGCGCGCGCCGTCGCGCGCGCATGCTGAAAACCTCCGAAAACCTTCGGTTCCAGAGAAACTTCAAAATTGAATTCGCAAAAAAAACATACAAAGACACAGGGTTTCGCAACGCTGCTGTGCTAAAGAACTTACGCGCGAGCTCTTGCGAAATCTTGAGACAACCATTGGGTTTTCAAGATTTTCACAACATGCTACCAAACGGGTTTCGCGCGCGCGCATGTCGAAATCTGTCGAACGCCCTTGCGCGTGCGCCGTCGCGAGAATCCTCTGCAAAAGAAAGAAGAAGTGCAGACGCGCGCGTCGTCGCGCGCGTATGCCGAAATCCTTCAAAAACCTTGGGTTTCGGAAGGATGTCAAAACCGTGTGTCCAAAAACATACAAAAACAAAAGGTTTGGCAACACGGATTTTCAACAGAAGCGTGCGCGCGCGCTTTTGCGTCGTCGTCGTCGTCGTCCTCCCTCCTCCCTCGTCGTCGTCGTCGCCGTCGTCGTCTTCTGTCTTTCCTCGTCGTCGTCGTCTTGGCGTCGTCGTCGCTTCCGTCGTCGTTGTCACCGTGGTCGTCCTTCTTCCCTCCTTGTCTTCGTCCGCTTTTCGTCGTTGTCCCTCCTATTTTGTCGCCGTCGTCGTCGTCGTCGTCGTCTTCACTCCTCCCTCGTCGTTATCTTCCTCCGTCGTCGTCGTCGTCGTCCGGTGTCGGCGTCTCGTCGTCGTCCCTCCTATTTCGTCGCCGTCGTCGTCGCCGTCCTCGTCGTTGTCGTCGTCGTCGTCTTCCTTCCTCCCTCGTCGTTGTCGTCGTCGGCGTCGCCGTCTTTGATCCTTCTTCGTCGTTCGCGTCGTCGCCGTCTTCCCTCCTCCATCGTCGTTGTCGTCGTTGTTGCCGTCGTCGTCCTCCCTCTCCTCCCTTGTCGTCGTCTTCGTTGGCGACGTCGTCGTCGTCTTCGTCGTCGGCGTCGGCGTCGTCTTCGTCGTCGTCGACGTTGACGTCGGTGGTGTTGTCGTAGTCGGTGTCGGCGGCGCCGTCGTCGTCGTTGTCGCTATCGTCGTCTGCGTCGGTGTCGTGGCCAAGTGCAATGCTTAAGAAGTCTTGCGACCAAGTTGCGGGTGCGAGGGTGGGATGTTTGCACGAGCAGTAGAGAGGACAGCTTCAAGAAGGTCAAAGTGAGTTCTCCTTTCTAAAAACAAAATAGGATCTATCCCCCCTGTGTTATGGTATCACCTTTCGGGTATGTAAATCATATATGACTCTGGCCGCATGTCCATCCGACATATGAATTTGCACTATCCCAGGGGGGGCGGTATCCCCCCCCTGAGGCCCCCTTGTAAAAAACACTATGCGGTGACTTTTTTTGTTCTAACATAACACTTTGTTTCACGAATCCCTTGCAAACCATGGGACGAAGTGCGCACGCGCGCATCGTCGCGCGCGCATGCCGAAATCTTTCGAACTCCTTCGGTGCCGGAAGGATTTCGCAATCGAGTTTCCCCCAACAACATAAAAAAACACAGGGTTTCGCAACACTGCTTTGATAAAAATGCTTACGCGCGAGCTCTTGCGAAATCTTAAGACAACCATAGGGTTTTCAAGATTTTCACAAAATGCTACCAAACGGGCTTCGCGCGCGCATGTCGAAATCTGTCGAACGCCCTTGCGAGTGTGCCGTCGCGAGAATCCTCTGCAAACAAAGGGACGAAGTGCACACGCGCGCGTCGTCGCGAGCGTATGCCGAAAACCTTTAAAACCCATCGGTTTCGGAAGGATTTCAAAACCGCGTGTCCAAAAACATACAAAAACCCAAGGTTTCGCAACACGGATTCTCAACAAAAGCGTTCGCGCGCGCTCTTGCGTCGTCGTCGTCGTCGTCGCCGTCCTTCCTCCTCCCGCGTCGTCGTCGTCGTCGCCTACGTCGTCCTCTGTCTTTCTTCGTGTTCGTCGTCGTCGTCCTCTTTGGCGTCGTGGTCGTTTCCGTCGTCGTTGTCGCCGTGGTCGTCCTTCCTCCTCCTCCTCCTCCTCCCTCGTCGTCGTCGTCGTCGTCGTCCGTCGTCGGCGTCTCGTCGTCGTCCCTCCTATCGCGCGTCGTCGTCGTCGTCGTCCTCGTCGTTGTCGTCGTCGTCGTCTTCCCTCCTCCCTCGTCGTTGTCGTCGTCGGCGTCGCCGTCCTTCCTCCTTCTTCGTCGTTCGCGTCGTCGCCGTCCTCCCTCCTCCCTCGTCGTTGTCATCGTTGTCGTCGTTGTCGCCGTCGTCGTCCTCCCTCCTCCCTTGTCGTCGTCTTCGTTGGCGACGTCGTCGTCGTCTTCGTCGTCGTCGTCGTCGGCGTCGGCGTCGTCGTCTTCGTCGTCGCCGACGTCGGCGTCGTCGTCGTCGCCGCCGTCGTCGTCGTCGTCGTTGTCGTCGGCGTCGTTGACGTCGTCGTCGTCGTCGTCGGTGTCGGCGTCGTCATCGTCGTTGTGGGTTTTGCAAACCAAGTTGCGGGTGGGTGGGTGGGATGTTTGCAAGAGCGCGGGAGATGTCAACTCGTTTGTTAGAATCAATTGCACCACACATATTTCCCCCACGTAGATCGCACCACATAGATTGCTAGACGTATAATGTTTAGGTTCCACGCTCGGGGACGAGGGGGGGAGGTGGGGGAGGAGGAAGGGGGGGAGGTGGGGGAGGAGGAGGGAGACTGGTGGAGGGGGAGGAAGAGGAGGGAGAGGGGGAGGAGGGAGAGGAGGAGGAGGGGGAGGAGGAGGAGGAGGAGGAGGAGAGGCACCAGACTAATGCACCATGAGGAGGAGGCAGCAGGATGAGGAAGTATGAGGATGAGGAAACATGACGAGGAGGAAACTGGCCGGGGGGAGGCGGGAGGGGGAAGGGGGAAGGGGGGAGAGGAAGAGACAGGATGAGGATGTTGGGGAAGGCAGAAGAGAAATAATGATGATACTAATAATAATAATAATAATAATAATAAGAAGAAGAAGAAGGAGCAGGCAGGAGGCAGGAGAAGGCGTAGGGGAGAAGGCAGGAGGAGGAGGAAACATCATCAGGATGGGAAACGAGGAGGAGGAGCTGGCAGGAGGAGAAGGCGGGTGCAGGATGATGAAGGACGGAATAGGAGGATATTCCCAGGCCAGCAAACATATTATCATGCGGAGTCCGATCGTCGAGGTCCTGTTTCGCGCGGCCACAGACAGGGTTGGCTGGTTCGACGCGCGAAGCACAGGGGAGCAATAGAGGCTACAGCTCTGGCTGCACAGCCTCGTCCTCGAGCGAGCGCCAGCTCATTCGTATGGTTTTCTTTCCTGCTGCCATCGATGGACTGCGGTCGTCCAGGTCACGTTTGGGTGCGGAGGAGAAAATAGGTGGAAGGCGAGCAGGAGGAGAAAGAGAGCGAGATGACAAAAACCTTTAGGAGGAGAAAGAGAGGTAGAGCAGGTTGTGCCAGCAAGAGAAGGAGAGCGGTAAACCGGAAGAGAATGGGGAAGGCAGAGTACGGGGGGGAGGGAACGAAAGAGGAAGAGGAAAAAAGCGGAGGAGTCAGGCGGGAGGGCCAGGAAGACAACGAGCGCGGTGGATCCGACGACGGCAACGCCGGGCGGCGGCGACGGCATCCACAGCGACGACGGCGCGACGGCAGCGCCGGCCCCGCGCGAACTGGCAGAGGCGACTACGAGGTGATGCTCGAAGCTGGCCCCAGCGGGAACGCCACGATGCTCTCCACGGCACCGCCTCCCCGCTCGCGCCGATGAGGAGGAGGAGGAGGAGGAGCAGGAGGAGGAGGGCGCGGCCACAACGATGGAGCAGGAGTTCTCGTCGACGAGGAGGAGCACGAATCACGAAGATGAGAGGGAGGACGACGACGATGCTCTCGCCGACGAGGAAGTGCAGAAGGAGGAGGAGGAGAAAGTGGAAGAGGAGGAGGAAGGCGACGGTCGCTGCGGCGGCGACGGCGGCTTCCATGGAGAGGGCGGACAGAGGGATGAGGAGAAGGAGGAGGAGGAGGAGGAGGAGCAGGAGATGGAGGAGGGGGTGGAGGAAGAGGACGAAAAGAGGTGGGGAGTGGGCGGGTTTGCATCTTTATCCTGTTCCTGTTGTCACTCCTTCCACATCCCCATGTCATCCTGGTCCTCTTCCTTCCTCCTTCCCATCTCTCCTCTTCCTTCCTCCCCCACCGATCGTCCATGGAGTTACTGATTGTCTAATGAAGGTTTACCTCATCAACGTCTGCCATTCTCGTTGGAGGGATGCGGTCGAGAATGAACTCAAGTATTGTGTCCCCGAGCGTCCCAACCTGAAAGGCAGCAAGAGGGCGGCCGTTAAACGAACTTTTCATCATCGCAACGTCGTATTGACTGTGCCCGACGAGCTGCTCAGAGCTGATCAGAGCTTGGAGGCACCATCTACGACCCGCCGTGGTGGATCTGAGGATCGTGCGGCTGGTCGTGCGGCTGCTCACCATCATGCTGCGGCTACCCGATACGCTGCTCAAGGCCGAGGTGCCCGCGTGCTAGTCACCCAGGAGTTCATGCCAGAGTCGTGTTCCGCACCTCCGCATCCATATTACCCAGCGCAGCGCCGTCGGTACCCGACACGCTGTTCAGTCTTGGGGCTCTCGACCCTGCTACGTCGTGCCGCCAAGACCTGATGTGCTGCTCAGGACCCGTGTTCATGACACACGCCTCACCCAATCTGTGTGTGTGTGTCGAAGCCGTGCTGGTGTAAATGCTGATGGCCAGTGAATCTTGCTGACACATGCGGTTTGGTGTTTCTATTCTGACCTCTTCACCAGTGCTTCGCCAACGCGCCGCGATGGAAAGTTAGCGTGGTAATCGATGGTCCGTCCATGTGATTGTTGGGGGACAAATCTAGCCGAGATCTTTCGCTCCCTTGGTGTGCTACCGGTTGCGACCAAGGCCCACCCTTGGAGGGCCGATTTGTGCAGCAAAGCAGCGCGGTATCTAGGCGAGGCACTTGCCTCCCCAGGAGGCTCACCCCGGGGGTGCGAAGCTGCAGCTGGCGCCGGTCCCCTCCCTCGGACGGCTCGGGGATCTCGCGGCCAGGCGGCTGGGTTGGTCGCCTGGGGTGGCGGAGGAAACTGCAGGCTTTCGGCTTCGTGCGTCTCCCCATTGCTGCGTCCGAGGTGTTGTTCAGAGACGCGTCTCGCATGGAATTCGGAAGTCGGAGACGCGTTGCCGCCCGCCGTAGTTCTGGTTCCCAGAGGAACGTGGTGCTCGTGACGTGGCACGGCTCGTTTCCCTCTTGAGTGCCGTATCGCGGAGGTGCGTCGGCTTTGTCAGAGACCCGTCGCCTTGCTCAGCGCCGTGCTGTTGGTCCCCTCTGGGACCCGCCGTGTTGCACGGCGCCTGTATGCTGGGATCCAGATTTGCGCGTTGTTCGGCACACTTACACGATTCTTAACCCGCGAATCCTGGGTAATCGGGGAAACCTTGCAAGTGTGAACCGTGTACCCGCGCTGTGGTTTTCCGCCGTTCTGACTGCACGAGACACAACATGGGCGACACCATCATCTCCCGGACCAGACTCCCGCGGCCTCATCGTCTTCGTCTCTTACACCGATGTCATTCCTCTTCGTCTCTCGTCCCGCATCCCCTCCCCCGCCCCTCCTCCATGTGCTCCCCTTGGTTTTCGGTCCTCCGTGTGCACAGCCTTGTGCGAGACAGCGCCGATCATCTCCTGCTGACGGAGCCACTGACAGCAACTATCTCACCCCGATCTCTCCTCTGGCCAGGAGCGCGCGCCGCTAATCTCGAGAGAAGGGGGAAAGACACGCGATGGACAACAACTCTCCCCTTGATGAACGACAGTGCTGGGTCCGCAGCCTTCAGCCTCGCGTGGTTCGCCCGGATCCTCTCCCTCCTTCTCCTTATTCTTCGGGGGGGGGGTCCCGCCCGTAGCGTCAACTTCCTCACTCCCCCACCCTCCTGATCCTCCTTATCTCAGGAGGAAAAGAAACACACAGACACAATTAATCTTCGATTCCGAAGAAAATATGGCAAAAGATGGGAAGTGGGGGGAAAGACAGAAACCCAGAAAATATATGAAAATATGGGAAATCATTTTATTTGTGTGTATTTATGTGTGTGTCCCAGGGCCCCTTCATTATCATCCTCCTCCCTCTCCTCCGCCTCCTTCTCCTAGCCATGTCCAAGACCAAGGACCCTTCCGACATGGCCGCGCGCAGCAGCACAGCCAGGCACATGCTCACTGCACTTGCTCAGGCAGCTTAGATACACGAGGGGATGTGGCCTGCTGGCGACAATTCGTGTTGTCACATCTTCCATGGTTTGATGAGCCCCACGGGTTCAGGAAACGATGATCGAGAATTTTCCTGCCCGGAAATAAGAAACCACAGATTCCCCAACAAACGGAAAAGCGAAACCACAAATACCAAAAAAGAAACATTTCTGAGCGGTGGGGCTCATCAATCCATGGTCATGGTATGCTACGACCCAGTGGAGGCACAACCCGATTTATTAGCAAGGCTATCCCAGGAGTGCGCGCACTACTTCGACGCAGTAGTTCTCACGGGAACACAGGGGACACCCAGTTGAGACGTGGCGCAGCAGAAGACGAAGCAAGGACAGCACATCGAGATGGAAAACAAGAACGCGCAGCGCGTCAACAAACATGCAGGATGTTCGATTGCCTGGCAAAGGAAGTGGGGCACAGTTGCACAGGTACGCAGCGAACACGTGGGGGAGGAATTGGCAAGATGTGGACTCGCAGTAACTCTACGGAATGGGGATCGTCTGGCACTGCTTCTAGAAGTGTGCTTCCCCCCGCAGCCCGAGACCAAGGACGACGGAGCCATGTGTGAACAAGCCGTGCAGGAGCCGTGTGTGACCAAGGGGGTGGGTACACAATTCCCAGAACGAGCAGGACGAGCCCCACCGTAAAGGTGTCTTTGAACAAAGGGCACAGGGGCTACGCAGAACGGTGTACAGATACCAAGGCGATCAACCGGAAGAGGGGCCACTCCATAATGCTTGCCCCTTGGGCCCAAGTCGGAGAATGAAAGCACTTGCTGAAAAAAAACGTGGTAAGAAATCACGGGAGGAGCACACACACACCAATTTGTTATGGCGACGGGACGAGCGTTATTCTCGGCCATACCTTTGTACCGACGGGCTTGCAGGAAATGGTAATTACCAGAGGATGTGTGCTACACGTGGGAAGGACAGATCAGGCAATTCCAGGCAAGTGCCCCAGATTCCACATGTTGACGCATGTAACAATCAAGCTCAGACAGACTGGAAAGATGGTACCACTGGAACCGAGATTTAGATGGAACAGAGATGCGATGCCGATGGGGGTTCAACGCATGCTCTTATAGACAGGGGCGGGTCATGGCGGCAGACAAGGAGTTCAGGCAACGAGGAGTGGGCACACATACACAGATATGCCTCAAGAAAGCTCCCTACTTGTGACGGCACGCCCAAACCCAACAATGCGATTGTACTAAAGCAGTTTGAGAAGTCTTACAAGGAGTAGCCTCCAACCAGCAGCGGTCACGGCAAGTACAATTAGGAGCGAATGAACCTGTTGGAGCAGAGAAAGATCTTGGGGTGAGTTCCAGCAAGAAAATTAAGGGCGATGGGGGGCGGGCGGTGAACAGGAAATTGAAGGCGATCGCGTTTGCGCGCGCGCTCCTGAGCAGGACCGAAGAACTCTGGCAAGCGTGGCGAGCCAGATACCTGGCGCACATGCCGGGCAATGGGCAAGTTTCTGCAGGAGGGAGATGGGGACCGCGAGGAAGGGGCGACCGCGAATTACAACTAACTGGCACAAGCTCCAAAGGCAGAGTGGATCGAGTTTCGGCAGCGACTTGGAGGAAATGCCGGGATGAAAGGAATGAATGCAGTCTTCAAGAGCGAGGTAGGGAAACAGCCGAAGAATTCACTACCACCATTGAGACTGGATGTGTTGAGTGGCGTAGGCTGGCTGGCGACTGTGGATATCAAAGGCATGGGAAAACCATTATGACGAGCGCGACTACGGCGAGCGGTGCAAGCGGGAGCAGCACCGACAGACATTGAGGACGCCATTCACCAAGCCGCAGGAGGTAAAGAACAAGGCGGGGATTGGAGCTGAGACGGGCTCCCCCCAGCCCGAAGTATGTCAGGGAGCAGATGCAGGCGGCGCTGGGGCATCTACGCTATGCGCCAGCCCGAAGGATGTCAGGGAGCAGATGCAGGCGGCGCTGGGGCATCTACGCTATGCGCGAACCATTCAAACCGACTGGCACTACAGCGAAGCGACGCTGGTGAAGAAATTGTTTTGCTCCGAACGATCCCCACCATGACCTTCGGTGCGTGTTGCCGACAGCTCGCGCGGTGCCCAATCGTCTTGGCCAGCGCCCGTTGCTATGTGATTGGGCGGTCGATACTGCGTTGTGCTATGCTTTGCGATGTCACGGTCTGTTGCAGCATCCATTCAAGCAGTGCGGAACAGTCGCAATCTTGTGCGGATTTGAGGAGTGTTCATGTTCACACTTGGGCCATCGTTTGAGACTCGTTCGAAGTTCGGGATCAGCATCGCGAACCCATGAAACAGTATCCTGGGTTGGGTGGGTGGTCTTTTTGATAAGCAACGGTTTCATACTCTAATGTATCGTTCCGTTCTGGTTCCGTCATTACGCGAAAGGTGGACGCAAGGATTGTAGGCAGTTCTTTTTCATACGGGGTTCTCGCCTCAATGGCAG